AGAAATATGTCGTGAAATACATTGATTTAGAATATGTGTCATGGACATGGTGCTTAGTCATAATACTACTACAATGGAGGGTTTGCTAAACCAATCAAGGATTATTGATTGGCTGTTGGCTGGGAGGTCTCCACATTTACTGCCGCACTTACTCACAATGCCATGCTGCACACAGCACCCTCAAGCCTGTCTGAGTGCGCATGAGTTTTCTTCGTTCAGCGGTGACAGCATTGTACGCTCCACAAGCTTGTTTCATGTCAATTGTAAATTAAGGATAAAGCCCGAATCATTTAGTCGCAAAATTGTTTCAAATCAAAATTTTCAGCGATTTGGAACATTTTAAGGTATCAACTGGTCTCCAAATTGACATTCATAATATTAATATTAAACGGATATTTTTTGAAGCCAAAATTTCATTTCATTGGTTTTTAAGTATAACGCATGAATTCCAAACTTATTTTAAGTTTCAAAATGCCAAAGCCCTTGATTTGTTATAGATACCTTTGCGCTAAACAATAATGCTATTTATGTTGAAGAAAGTTCACCAATCATATCGTTTATACGATGACTTTCCTGTTTCCCTAACCGGTTTTGAAGCAATACTCAATACTAATTTCGTGTAAACTAACCACTTTATATACCGGAACAATATAATATTTTCAATAAGGCAGAAATCTAAGCACAAACCGTTTTACATTTACCTTTACACATCTCACAATTAGGGAATTTAGTAATTGATTTTAGTTAATTTAGTTAATTCAAAATAGCAGATCTTATGCTTGTTTATTTGACAATAGAATCCCACGCCATTGGAATCACATAAACACGTGTTTTGTTTTCAAAGCTACTACAGCATAAGGCATTATTGATTAAGGCATAATTTTTCAACGTTAACATGCATTGCGCCTCCGGAAGCAAATGTTTTTCAAATAACTTTAATACATTATCTGATAACATGTCAACCCCTTCCTCTAGGGGCAGAAAGTCAGAGAAATCGGAAGATTTATTTAAAGGACCTGATCCAGCTAGTCCACTCATTCAGTCAGGAGCAAATGAATTCTACTCCGAAATCCCAACAATACTTCCAGTTGTCTATGAAGAACTCATAAGGGAGAGTCCCGAAGAATCTGTTTTACCACCCTTACCACAAGTTATTTCGGATCGTCAATGTCGATTTGGAAAAGATTTTTCACGCGACCGCTCTTATGATTCATTCACTATTCAGGAAGAAACCAGAAAGGCCAGAGCAGAACTAGCGAAGTTGAGTAATTTGGGTGGTAAACATTATCCTCGACTCGGTCGCCTATTGGATAAAATAAGTAGAAGCGCTCAGGAGGAAATTGAACTATTCCAGAAACAGGATAAATATCAGTCATTGAAAAGAACTCGGCAACATTCCATGCCAGGAAGATTGGCACCTTCTGAAAATCAAGTTTCCCGGGTGCGTTATTCCTACCCTATGGCCAATGGTCCTATGACTCCAAATGTTCCATCTTATTCATATCCCGAACAAATACCGGGTTTCAATGAGTATTCCCAACAAATACTCAAAATACAATCTCGAATGCCATGTAAAAGGTCATATGCCTCAACACCAGGACCACAACGGTTAAGAGCATGTCCTATGCCAACACAAACCCCTATCATTAAGAAACCTATGGCAAGGGAGATGAGCTGTCCTCCTCCACAAGCATCACAATATGGACAGCAACGTTGCTGTCAGAAAGTTTACTCTGTACAGAAACCCCCGATGGCATGCCAAACAGATGATCTTGTAAATTTCGAAAAATTGAAGGAAGATGTCCAAAGAATAAATAGGTCAAGAATTAATAAATGTAATCAGCAAATTCAGCACCGACCATGCAGATCTGCTTCACAAGATGGTTACTACACATATCAACCAGGATACACGATGAACAATCAGGCCATGAGTTATCAGCCATCCTACGGTTATTCTCAGCAGTTATCCAGAGATACTCACTTAAAATGTGAGTCTGCTTCCAAGAAACCTTCAGGGTCTACTCAAAATAGACAGGTAGGATCTTACCAGGGATATATTCCTGGCTATGAGCAGACAACCTATGGCAACATTTTTAATTATCATCTTCCTAATTATTAAATAACTGAAATATAATGGTGGTATCTAGCAAATAAACTATTCTAAGTTCTCAGTAACGTCTTTTCGTATTACTCAATTATATTCCTATACTTAAGCAGCCCCCAGTGAGGCCATATTTAAATGAGCTTAATCGGAGCATCAAACCTACCTAATTTTAGACGTATTTAACACAATGTCAAGTGGATCCGAAAAAATTCTCATTAAATGTCTCAAAACCTACAAGAGTTGTTATAATAAAACATGCTTCTTGAAGCACTTGCTCAAATTGATATTTCTAACCATCTTAAAGGTTGAGTGGTCTTTGAGATTACGAAAATAAGCATGTAATGAATACTATAAAAATAAGCTCATGACAAAAACTTAGTAATCCTCTTACGTGTGAGAAGAACTAACTGTAAACCGATAAGTGATTGAATACCATTACCGCCACTCTGGAAAAATATCGATTTCTGATCGGCTCTGGGGGGGGGGGGGGGGGAGGTACCTCACTGACCTTTCTTTTCTATAAGTAGTGATTATAACGATAAGAGCATTCCACCCTTTTCCGCTAGCATTTCACCGTTTCGCTCGAATTTCTTTAAGATAGCGATGCATGTCTTAACATTACTTTAATGCAGGACACGCAAACCTTTATGATTACTAATAGGATCAGACAAGCGTAGATGGTGTGATAGATGAAATATTCTATGAGAATTGGTTCATATTTTCATTACCCATTAATTTCTGTGGGCTTGAATCTTTTCTGAATTAATATTGTCACAAGAATTGAGGGTGACAATATAAATAGTTTAAATGAACCAAAATACAGTGTTCAACTTAGTTGTTGATACCTATTTAGTCGATACAGACATAAGAATATGCGGGAAGTAACTGCTGACGCCGATAAATGTGGGATAGTGCAGGAAGTATGATTAAATATGTCCGCTTTAAGAAGTATCCTTTAGAAAAGGCATGCTCATTTGAAAGAACATTTATTTATTTATATCAAATGGCAGGCTGTAAAGTAGTTATCGTTAGCACTTTAGCCGACTTCGGGCTTCACAGAGAGGATGTAACATCAAAGTCAAAAAAAGTAGAATGGAAGAATAATGATTCAGAGAGGTAAAAGAGACAGACACAAAAGGAGAGAAAAAGGTAAGGTGAGTACTGTGAGTGGTCAAATATGATATGCAATTGGGTCATGGTCGTACATGCTTTCACACTCTATTCAAGGTGGTATGTGCGTATGAGAATTTAAGGTTTGATCAATCATAATTGCTTGTAGTTTGATCATTGTTGTAAAGTGGTTGACTTCCCTCTAATGCATCGTGGTTTAACTTATAGACCATTGTGCCCTCTAGTATCTCTTGTTCCCTAGTAAGCCTGTAGTTTTTCAATTCATTCTGCACACCCGATTGCCCATTTTTCATCCCATTACACCAACTTTAAGCTAATTGACAAGGAGGAAACGCCAGAGAAATGGTTGAGGGAATTCTTATGTCTCAAGTTCTTGCACCACAAAAGCCCCCCCCCCCCATATGAAATGCCGTGTTTTCGATGAACATCATTGGAGATGGACTATTTGACTACCATCTTATTAATGTCTGCATTTTGATGGATGGAAAACCATTTTAGTAATGCAGTTGGAGGAAACAATTCTGAAAAGTTGTAAGATTGGAGTTAATGTTTCCAAAGTCAGGACACCAAGGCGCATGGTTACACGAGAATGGCGATTATTCAATATTCGAGTCACGTGGAGTAAAGTGTCCACAAGATTCTTCTACATTTTCCACCTTTAAACATGACCGAACAAGAAGAAGTGCAACAACGTGCTCACTTGGTATGGGAGTATCCACCTCCTAATCTTTCTATCAAAACTCGACCTACTATACCAACGCATGCTTTCTGGGACATTCCAGTGACATTTGCTCGACGTGATATGTTACGAGAAGTTGAGCATGATGGAATACACGACATTCCCGTTTTGTTAGCTGCTCCAATGTATGTTCTTTTAAGAAAACACGAAGAGGAATTAGAAAAAAATGGCCCTGATGGTAGTTTTATCAGTAAAATAGAGTTCCCAGCCAGAATGAAGCCGAGTAGAACCAAGAATCTAGATTTCATTTACGGTATATTAAAAGAAGCTCCTAGTTTGCAGAGTGGTGAACGACTTCTTAATGGCTTACCTACTCGTTTGATTTTTGAGATCTTAGCTCTTATTGTCCAACAAATGGACTTGAAATTCAAAATGAGTGCAAAGCTTACTGAATTTATGCTTACAGTCGACTTCGGTGCACCCTATTTTTGGAATCCTGAAGCTGGTAAGGAGAACGCATTTAAGAAGTACATGGAAGATAAAAATCTTGGGGAAGATGAGTTAATGGTACGATTGTCCAATAAAGTAGCTGACATTTGGGCTACGGAATTAGAAAGCACAGAAGAGAAACCCGCTGAAAAACTCCAGCTCCGATTCATTTTGACCAACCTGAGCCGTATTGTAGGATCATACTTTCGAGCTCTGAATAATCACCTCCCAAATGATCGACATCTACCAATAAAAGTCAACAAAGACCCCAATTCTCGTACCAATTCACAGATGCAAGTATTAGGGTTAAAATTCGGCCGTTTTTTGGCTACTTTAGATGCCGATACTTTGAAAAGTAAATATCCAAATAGTGTAGAATTTACCCATTTTCAAGGCACCCTACCAGCAACTGTCATTAAAAATTTACTTCTGCTTAATACACCAGAAGCGTTTATGTCCAGTCCAAAAGCCTCTGAATACTTATTCCATGACAAAGAAGGCTGTAATTTTGAAAACCCGGAGTGTGCTTGCCAACATAAAAGTATGGAATAAAAAATATCACATCAGTGTTAGGAATTTCAGTCAGCATTATTTTACTTACCAAAGATAAATAAAGTTAAATAAGCATAATATTGTCCTACTTTAATGAAAAAGAGCAGAGAAGGTACGATTTGGCTGAATCACACTTACTAAGGAGAGCGAAGAGTGAAAATATTGTATTCAGTAAAAGAAAAGTGAGATGCTACATAAGTTGAGCAGTATCTGATGCATGTAAAGATCTATGACTTAACATGGCAATTACTTGGAGCAAAGCATTAAACTATATTTATTGAGGTACCTTTTGCAAATCTGTATAAAGATTTTCGTAGTGGCAGTAAATGAAGACATGGAATTTATCCATTTTGACAAATTGGAAGCTATGCGAAACGGTTATCTTTTGATTTGAAAAATTTCAACAGAAATGGAATAATTGTGGAAGTCTAATTGAGCAATAAATGAATATGAACTATGTAATATCGTATAGGCTTGAATCGATAAATGTGTCATGTACTTCTTGGAAGATACCGGTTAGGAAGAAAGAGCACGAATTCTTATTTTCTTATTATTTTTCCAGTTATTATTTTCTAGTTATTGGAAGGTTATGTTAGAACCAGTTTGAGAGGCTATTCAAGCAGACGACTAAAAATGCAAATATCAAGTGAAGGAGTACATATTGATATGCCATAATCTACCCTTTTCCAGATACAAATACCTTTAATATACCGCTTTGTAATCACACAGTAACTTCATACAAGACAGGAGAGAACAAGTTGTTGTTATCTAAATAAGGTTTAAATTTGGTCACCTTTTAGGATAAGTGATATTAAGAAGTAAAGTGTACACTTATTAAAATTGGGATCTGGAAATCTTGGAAATAGGGTAAATGTTTAACGTGTTTTTCTAAATATTGAAAACAATGAAATAGTAAAAGCTTAGCATATTATAAAAATGTATGATATTAGCACTATATGGTAAGAAGTTAGAGTTATTTCAATATTAATGTAAAATTTTAAAAATTGCAGTCAAAAAAATGTTATATAAATATTTTTATAATAATACTATCGCAAAAAATAAACTTATTACCTAAATTATATCTTGTACTCAAATATTTTACAGTAATTATTGGGAGCCTGGCCTTCAAAACGTAACAATAACCAAACGAATACTTTGGTCGTGCGAATACCCTTTGTCGCATTTCTATGTCATTCAGTGAAAAAAATAATGACTTCCATGGGGCATAAAAATTCAGAAAAATGTCAAAACCACAATTTCAAAGATTATTGCAATACGTCTGAGCATAGTCAGGCTTTCGTAGCCTCTCATTTAAGTGGCCCAATCGTTGGTGCCGAATTACATAAAGAGTCATATTCTAAAGAAAAAGTAAACCGTCTTAGTTTTTTAATATAAATATTTGCAGATTAAAACAATCAATGTTGCTCTCGTTCTCTGCCTTAATATGGAAATCGATCCACCCGATGTCCAAAAAATCCCCCCTTTTAGTCGTGTTGAAGCATGGGTTGACCCTGCCGATGCAGGCTATCGTGTTGTTGAAATGATTGGTAAAAACTTGCAGGTAAAATGCCATCGACTTGCAGGTCAACTTTTTATTAGTTATTTAAACTTATGTTTTGCTACTTTTCAGTCACAATATGAACGTTGGCAACCCAAGGGATGTTATCGCCAATGTCTTGACCCTAATTTGGAAGAGGTTAAGAAAATTTGTGTTAATATGCGTCGAAATGCTAGATCAGATCGCATTCTTTTTCATTATAATGGTCATGGCGTACCAAGACCCACAGAAAATGGCGAGATCTGGGTGTTTAATAGGGTATTTTTGGCTAATTTCTTAACGTCTCGAGTTCCCATGATATTTTTAAGCCACTTTATTTTACTGTAGACTTTCACTAAATATATTCCTCTATCGCTATTCGATCTTCAAAGATGGCTCGGTGGCCCCTCAGTTTACGTCGTCGACTGCCAGAATGCTGGTCGTGTGCTTAAACTCTACGATTATTTTTGCCAACGTCGACAAGCTGAAGTGAGTTCACTCCTGCATCATTGCATGTTTCCCAATAAATGCTCAGTGTCTCCAATTTGGCATTTTCAAGGAAACGTCTAAAATGTGGATCGCGTACCTTATTTACGAACTGCTTATTTGGTCAGCACGCCGAGTTTACAGTTTTAAATGACCGATTAAGTGATCTCTATAACTTATGTATGCTTTATTCTGTAATTATTGACTTTCTTGGTTCAGTTGTCCATGTAAAGCCAAAGTTTTTCTAGAGGTTAATTCTTCAGGAAGTGATTTTTGATAAGTCTTGTGTAGTTTGAAGCAACCCAATCTATTTGATATGGTCTGAATTTTTTAGTTGTACCAAAAATGTTTTGAAAAAATCAATCGTGCGTTTTTATCACGTATTTAAATTCCTAGTATCTTTACTGCTACTTTTTATCGTCTCTCATCTTTAGAAGTTTGTCAGTGACTTATTTTTGCTTCTTGTTTTATGCATACCTTGTGCTTATCTTACTAGTTAATTACTGTTATTAACGAATTTCTCAAATCAAGATGTTTGCAACACGTGAGCGAAGTTATTTTTGGACTATTTGCACAAAATTCGCATGCCTCTATCAGTCTTGCTGAACTTAAATAATTGACTAGTGCATTTGGTCACCGGAATCACTAGAAGTGGACCGATGGACATCGATGTATTATCGTGATAGGTGTGCACGTTATTCACCTGTTGTCTTTCAGCTCTCCAGCCATACATCAAGGTGGTCCCAGCCTGTAGTGATTTTTCTTTTTTATGAGTTTGGTTGTTTTGATCTACGTAAAAGTTCATTTATTCTTGTGTATTATTATTTATTTACTTGATTGTCGTTAGTCAAGAAAAATTTCGGAATGTGAGTTCCCCTCCAAAGCGGCTCCAGCAAACTGACTAGCGAGTTAGGAGTAGGGATGTGTTAATCTGCACACTATTATACCAAACAGGAAATTAGAAATCCATGGATTTGCATTAAGTGAATAGAATGCTCAAACAGACTGGTCAACATCGAAGTGCTAGTTTTTCTTTCACTCTGAGAAATAATATTTTCAAGGCAAATGTGGCCGACTGCATTAATTAAGTCTTGCTAAACTAGATAATAGTGGAATTCGAGTCTCTATGAAGTCACTGTCTACACAAGATGAGTGTTGGAAAGCGCTTTCCTATATAGACTTAGGAGTTATGCTTAGCCTGGAAACCTCACCTTTTTCGTTTCTTAAATTAGTATTTGACTTTGCTACAAGCTTTGATACTAATCAGATATGTAATTTAGTTAACATTAGCACTTATTGTGTCTTAATTTTTTCAGACCGCAAATACTGTTGGAGAGAGTTCTAATTCTGGTGGTCAAAATCCCGAAGGTGTACATCACGAACAAAACACTTTCGGTCACGTAAGTCCCTAAAGTGTTTTACCATTCGGCGCCCATTTCTTATGTAAATCTCACTAATCGCATTTGTTTTAACTTGATTTAAGTCTTTGAAGCTAATTACTGCAATGCTATAGTCGTACATAGTTATTCTCATTGTTATCAATATCAGGACCACGTTAGACCTCTTTAAGGAGACAAACGGTCAGCTTCATGTCTTTAACTGAAAGTGGGGTGTTAGTGACGATATTTATTAGTTGCTTATTTTTAATCAGGGTTATATTCTTACTAGAGTCATGCAAACTATCATCTTCCTTCTATCTTGACTGCTAGAAATTCAATCCCTTGGTACCGTCATCTAATCTTAGTCACTTCTATCGTACCCTTTGGTAGTGTGACTATTTTGTGATCAATGAGGCTCATGTATAATCTGTGCTTGCTCCTTTAAAGCCAACATCTACTGCACTACTGGTCATTAGAATTTTGAATATATTTACTTCACTATTGAACTCAGAGGAATATATGCTGTCGCGTCCCTTCGAGTAGATACTCGTACTTGAACGAGTATTAAAGTTGTGTTCAATCACGCCTCTATTTTTTACGACAAAGCAACCGGCCATTGTGCAGAGAGAATGGCCTTGTTTATCAGTGTGCGCGCGCGCCTGAGGAGCGGTGATGCTTTTCTGCGAGCATTCAAATTCTATATTGGCAGCTTCGCACTTTACTGCCTTCACTCGAATGCCTTGATTGACTGCTTTAAGTATGAAATTAGCATTCCTATTTCATTTTCCACCATATTTTTGCTTTTTTTAAAATTTTATGTAATATTTTTATTCCAGGCGAACTGGCCACCCCCGTGGCGAACTAGTAAAGTATGCGCTCCTTTCTGTGTACTTATAAGTGGACATTGTTTTTTTTCGTATTTCCTTATATTGTCCTTAGTTTTTGCGTGCATTTGTATCTAATTCTGGTCTAACTCTCTCCCTCTCTGTGCTAGTTTGCATAGATCAGACCAAACGTAGTCTCCTTTCTATCCGTTTTTTCTTGTACAAATATTATATCCAATGTTTTATTTCTAGAGATGACAGGTTAGTATAGACTCTTTGTCTCAGCATAAATTAATGTCTCCGAATCGTCCCATTTTTGGCCTTTTAATTTGCTGCGTCTGTACTTGCTAATTATTGTTTAGGCTTATACCAGTCACACCATTGGTTTAAATCAAATGGCTGCTTCGGCTGTGGCACCAGCTACAATGGAGAATACAATTATTCTGTGTGCTTGCGAGGAGAACGAGGATCTACCCCAGTTGGCTGAACTTCCGGCCGATCTGTTTACTTCTTGTCTGACGACACCAATCAAAACGGCTTTGCGGTGGCACTGGATGAAGTATAACAAGTATTTCCCGGGTTAGTCACTAAACCTCAGTTTTCTTTTCGGTTGAAGCTTTTTTTGTAAAAGTAGGTAGTGTTAGTAATTTCGGTTCATGTTTGGCGGTTGGAATGTACCTGAAGTGCTTTTTCTCCCCCGTATTTTTCTACTAAATCCAACGGATTTACACGAGGCGTTGCTAGCAAAGAATGGAATAGCTGAAGGAAACCTTGTTAATGGGAACCTGGAGGGTGCTGGAAGGGTCTGTTGTATAGTTATCGGCATCTACGTCCGCCAAATTACAATTCATAAGATCTTTGGCCCAGTGATGGGAATGAATATATACAGCGTTAAATTCAAATCAGCAAGAGGGAATAATAAAATATAAGTTTCTCATAGGTGAGGAGTTTCAGTATATCCTTACATATCCGAATCAAATGGAGACATTAACGTTTTCTTCGGGAAATTCGAATCACTTTGGAGACCTTATGTACTGATGGTGCAGCTTTAACTTACTTATTAGCGTATCTAGAGATAACGAGATCTTATCTCATCAATGCCCACTCAATTATCGGGCTTACCGACCAAATTTAGTAAAAGTGATGGTTCAATGAAATCGGGTTTCCTATTTAACAAATGTAGGTTTGTAAATTATTTATATCAAATGGCAGGCGTTCTGATAGTTATCATTATTGACTTCAGGCTTCATATCAAAGTGGTAAAAAAGTCGAAAGGGGGGGGGAACAGAAGAGTGCTTCAAAGACGAAGGTAGAAAAAAGGTGAGGTGAGTACTGTGGAAGTAGTCGAATATGGCATACAGTGGGATCATGGCAGTTTGAAGTCAGAAGTCAACTACCCATTGATAGACTTTTTTGCCGTATGAATATACGTTACGTCTATCGCACACCCCGGTTTGTGAATTATTATATTGTCTAGAATAAAATGTGCAATCAAATCAATATTAATAATATAATATTTTTTCGTAAACCATATCACCAATTGCGGTAGCTGCATTACAAATCCCTTTAGCCCTTGATTCTCTTATCACCCACTTTGCTATTTGTGTTTCCTTTTGTCGTCATAATTTAAAAAAAAACTGCCGAAACCTTGATTTCTGGCCGTATTCGTGCTATGTGTCTTTGGGCGAATTTCAGCTGAGTAATTTGGGTTACTGTTTATTTGCGATAGTAGGTTTTACTGTTTCCACATACGGCTAGTGGGTAGAATGATCTCAAAAGGCGTCTCATTAGGTGCTTTAAATGAAAGGAACACGAATTTTCGAAACCCAATGCAACGCAATAGGTTTTATCTTATCGCTTATCGGTCGAAGCTTGTGTCGGCTCGTCTAAACTTGCAGTCTAAAATTATCTGCACTTAAGGTGAGTGTCTGGTCTCTTTACGCCAAAATGATTTAATCTATAATAAGAAACATTGTATTTTAAGCACAGTTTCTTGCTTGTAACTAGGTTACTTTGTAATTCAGTGTATTTTGGTCCTACTCAGATAATTGTGTTTATTACTTGCTTAATCGATTTTTTATGAGTGTCTCTTTTCCTGTAGGTAGAATTGATGAAGCCATGCTTGACAACATTCCCGGGAATCATGGAAATCGAATGACTCTGTTGGGTGAAATTAATTGGATTTTCACTGCAGTCACGGACACCATTGCCTGGTGCAGTTTCCCAGTGGATTTATTTCAGAAACTGTTTCGTCAAGATCTTCTTGTGGCCAGTTTATTCAGGAATTACCTACTGGCTGAAAGACTGATGCGATCATTTGGCTGCCATCCTCGCTCTTGGCCTAAACTAGCACCAACCCATGATCATCCCATTTGGTAAATGGAGTTAAACTTTCACATTTCCAGCCTTTCGGACATAGCCACTTAATCGTGTGAACGGACATTTATTGGCATGGTGATGCTCGTCTATTAAGTGCAACAAGTTCTTTTTTATCTCGGAATTCCTACTAGTTCATTGTTTAGGAATAGGGTGTATAATTTATTATTAATTGTCTCTATTGATACAGGTTTGCAGTGAGCATTGCATATGGGATGAGCGGAATAAAATTGTCTTAACCAGAATGAGTGATGACGTTGTGCAGCTTTTGCCACAGTTATCAAATCTATACATTTAAAATCTCAATTTTCGGACTTTGCTTCAAATGCTTTATTTTCTTCTATTTTTGATTCACTCTTACACTCGCACTAAATTTTGAAGTATTTATGTAGTGAGTTCTACCTATTCGTATTCCATTTCCTGATTGATCTTTTATATATAGATTTCAGAAATTAAGTAGTCTTGCTTGGCTTACTTTAAGGCGAAAGCATTTAATACCACTTAAATAAGGAAAGTGACTAGATTAGATATCGGCTATTGATTTTATTTAAGCCAAACCGGAACATTGCAGCAAATAGCACGAGTCCGTATAAGAGCGTGGATCATGTGCGGGGAGGGTGGTAGTGGAATTTAGGTCAGTTCATTTATAGATAATTTAATGGGTTTCCAAGATCAGTAAATCTGATACTTCTACGCTTTTTAAGGCGCTTCCATTGGTAAATGTTATCGATCAGTTATTACTGCATTTCTTCCTATGAATATAAAATTAAATTTAAGCATTATATGCTTGTGTTCGAAGTCCCCTGGAAAATTCGCTTGTCGTTCTATGTCCTCTTTAATCTCGCACTTATTAGAGGTCAATATTTTTTATGACTGTTGCCATGACTAAACCTGGGAGACATTATGACAGATAGCCCTTATCACTCGTAGTCTATCCATTGTAGTTATTGATTCTAATTAGATGCACACGATTGGATGTTTGTTGATGGAAGGGATAATAGATGAAGGGCCTTTATTTAAAGATTGTAATGGCTTCATCTTTATTTGCGAAGACTGAGATTGAGATTGTTATTAAATGTTGGCTTTAACACATGTTCTACTCAACCCAGTAATTTCTTCAATCCAATATTTGAAGCATTGGAAATCCGTTCACACGTGTTGGTACTGTTTCCCTTGAAAGGCCTACTCAAATCTCTCAATGATTAAAAATCTAATAACCATGACTATTTTGTGATTAACACAAAATCTCATTAGTTTAAGACTGAGAGAGATTTTAGTCCATCATCGTTTTTCAGGGGTGCCTGGGATCACGCTTTGGATCTCCTCTTCCATTACCTTCCACAAGTTCTTATAGGCACAGAAGGTGCAATCCCTGCTGATATTATTCTCTTTCAATATCGTCAGCAGCAACAGAATCTCCTTAATGAACTCCCCTTGGTTCTTGCCCCACCTCCAACATCAGATGTTCCAAAAGAACTCTTTGAGCTAACTACCGCTAAGACTCAAGGACTTATCGTGAGCATTTGATTTCATGTCTTATTTAAATCTTGTTGGAAGGAAGTCTTAATTACTATGTGCATATCTCTACCTCCTTTAAGGCGAAGCTAGCGGCAGTTGAACGACAGGTGGATTGTGCAAAGGAAAAGAAAAATGTAAAGGCCTCTGGACGTGCCATTGCTCCTCCACCGGGCTATGAAGTGAATTCCGCTGGTCCTACCGTGAGTTATACGTTTAGCTCCTTTGAATTGAATGAGGAATCGATTAACTTATGATGGTTTGTTGGATATGATTTGACAGAAAACGGTTCAATAGAAGAATGGCTGTTGAACATACACTTATAGCGTGGAATTGATATCACACTCCAGGTGCACTATTTCGCCTTCCTTTCACAGAGTACTGATAATTAATGTGGTGATTGTATTCAACATTTGAAATAGTGTTCGTTGAGAACATGTAGTTGCTTTGCGGAGCAAATGTTGCCTTGGTGTGCTTCTTCCTAAAGGTCACTAATGAATTGACTATAATTAATATTAATTCACTATTAAATGTGCATGGCATTCTGAGTTGTTCTATATAGAAGCCTGTATTTTTTGTACCTTGTCATTTTTTCTTTATTAAAATTAATCAGGCATGTAGAAGAGGAAAATGGTAGACTTAACGTTCAAATAACGATCATATATTTAATGAAATAAATTGCTTCATATTGCCTTGAATGTGTGGCAAACGCTTGATTTCCTGATTAGCCAATAATTGTATCGATAACTTTTCTGTATGTGGTATTGCATATTCTATTATTAGCTTGGGAATCTAAGAACCAATAATTCCGAGCATTGGGGGCTGATAATTACGAGTTTCTCTCTAGCGAAACGAAGATATTCCATCAGATATCCTAACAAGTGGTTACCGAAATTTCACACATTCATAGTACACGACTTTATTAAATATTTTCACATCATTCGCCCATTGTTAGCATTAACAAGTGTGAATATGCCGTTAATCACCTATTATGTACTGATTCCAAAGTGGTTCAAGGACTCCTTGGTTTATTTTAATACTGACTCTTTATAAAATATCTTTCTTGGTGACTAATACTGACTACTAATTCTCTACCAGAAAAAAATGGCTTCGTGCCTTTGATTTGGGTTGATTTCCTTTTTGTTTTAATCTTAACCGCTCTTGTTTCAAGAAGGCTTAAAATTGCGGAATTAAAGCCTTCAGATTCATTTCGCTATTTCACTTGTTCCTTAACCCCATTTTTGGCATCTGTTGGCTTGAAACTGACTTTTGTGAAGGCGGCTGACCTAGTAAGTGTTTTGTTAATACCCCTATCTATTCCTTAATGCTTGGTTAGTAAATATGAAAGGTGACAAATGCGTGGATAGTGGAGGAGACCATCATACAGCTTATGAAAATGGAATTGATGTCGTCTGGTTGTTTTTCAACGAAGACAATCTTGTATTGTTATAGGAATACAGGTGCAATAGCTAAGACATCTGATTTTCTCCCTGCTTTCTTCAACCTGCCAATTTTATCTTCTACTAATCTTCTCTACAACCGCAGAATTAATAAATAAATAGAGATACATTGGTTGTTTACAGAAGGAGAGGGTTGAGAGACAAGGATTGTGGTGGAGGAAGGAATTTAGTGTTACTGGATTGTGTTCAAATCACTATATGGGTCCAAAGTCTGAAAAATAACAATGATTTGATATAGGTTGAGACATTCTCAGCACTATGTATGAAATCAGGCCATTTCTATTGACTAAATCAATGAAAAAAACTTTATTACAGAGCAAGAAAACTTGTGGGTTAGGGATCGTCCACAATTTTATCTGTTTGCTCCTAAAAATCTTCTGTTTAGGAAACTAAGTAGGCATCTAACATCTAAAAGGTGAAGTCTTTTTCCTTCACATTCATATTTCCTCTCGCTCCTAGATACGCTGTATTGAGTTGTGATTAACGCTTCCTTCTACCAACTACTGATTTTGGTTGTTGACTTTAAGTCCTGGGAGGGCCAATCCCAGGAATATTAATTCGCAAAGACTGGAGAACAACTAAGTGAGTATTTTAGATATAGTGTCAAATGGGGCTGTGCTTTGTGGTTCTTTAACCCTTTACCGTCCATCGGACCGTACGGTCCTCTTTCAAAATAAGCTCCATTGGTAATAGGCGCTATTGCCATTTGAAACATGCTCAATGCGTCTATAGCCTTCGCATGATACACCACCAAAACTCATTACGTCGGCAGCTTCAGTCTGTTGTGGGGCACACACGAGTGTGGTTGGGTGCATTTTTCAAAAAAAAAAATAATTCGGGCATTTAAGGGTTAATCTGGATCTCATTTACGTGCATGCGTTTTTTTGTACTAAATCGTAGGACATGGTACAAAAGCTTATTCGCTTCGAGAGATCATCGTAACGATGATGATAAACACTTTTTAACGTTTTACTTCATTTTTTCAAAAGACCTCCCGGAGTCGTCACGGTCATGGGAAAACTGGTGGTGGTTCGCCACGTAGATCAGCTCGCTTCGTTATTCAGAAACATGATTCTGCTTCTACTGCTGCTATGGATACCCAAGAACAACCCGTTGAAAAGGGCGATCAGGCTACTACAACTGCATCGACATCGACAACAGCTCCTGCTCAACCACATTCCGCTCCATCCCACTTACCAAGAAGTGGACCAGGTGGCCATCTCCATAGCCATCACCATGGACAGCATCATCATCAGCAAAAACAGAGCCATCACGAATCACGTGATGACGTAAGACTTTTTGTACTAATTGTGCTACGAAGGCGCAGTTCTTTCCTTTATTCAATTTATCTTTAAAATAATGGGGAGATATCCTGAAACAATTTAAAAGCTCCAATTTCCTTACATTTTCCACTTTTTTGGAGTAAGCCGTCTTTTAAATCCAAGTTCTATTTCTTTTGAGCTTGTTATGCTATCCTGTAAAAACTGTTGACCTCTCTATAAAGTGAAGAGTAGTTAAAACTTCATGAAACAATACTTGATATGAAATATCAAGTCGAGTATATGCGCGAGCATGAAGTATTGAACGAAATCATAAGGGCGGCAAATCGGAATCCTCTTTAAACACTAATGGTCTGGTGCTTTCTTTTCTCTTAGGAACGAGACCCAGAGGAGACGGAATCCTATGCCTCTTCCAGTGACGACATTGACGTCGACGAAGATGAATTGGAGGACGAAGAAGACCTTGAAGACGATCTCGAAAGTGGTGAAGACGGTGATTATGAAGATCTCAGTCATCGATCTCAAGAAGAAGTGGGGGGTGAGAGTCCACCTCCATCCGGCACCCAAGAGGAGCCCCAGCAGCAACCTCCGACCAACGTTAAGGTCTCTATGCCTGATATGCCAAAGAACCTGGCTTTTCTTTCCACCCTGTCAATCCGATCTGATCCCAATGATCAGCCAGGAAGTTCCGGTGCTGCTCCTCGTTCACGACCGGTTGTTGGCGCTGCCTCTGTTTTGGCACGAATCAATCAATACCGTCCCTCCCCTATCATCGGTCCTGCGCCCCTACCTCTTGTCCAGGGTATTGAAGTTGACTGTCGTCCAAGCACTTTCTTTACCTCTCAGATGACCGCATTTGCTCTATGGCTCCGCACGTGTGCTAATGACTCCCAACCAGGTAGTCGAGAGCTTCAAGCTGCCGTACAGTTACCAATTCTACTTCAGGTTCTCCTCTCCCAGACTCACCGAATTCGAGCCTTACAACTCCTTTCTGAGTTCCTTGATCTTGGCTCCTGGGCTGTCGGGCACTGTATCACTGTAGGGATTCTTCCCTACATTGTGCGCCTCTTTCACTCCAATGTCCTTGATGTGAAACCGCAGTTGGTTTTCATTTGGGGCAAAATTATTGCCTCGTCACAGATTGACTTCTCTAGACATGAGGGTATTCGTGAATCGGGCTATCGGTACTTTGTCAGCTGTTTACAAGATGCCACTAATCTTTCTCCCCTTGTCCGAACTATGGCTGCTTTTGCATTAGCAAAAATGTTAGTCAAAGGGGATACCGGTGAACCGGATTCTGTTTTTCAGGATACCTACCATACTTCAAAGCCCCTGTCGTTTATCCACGTCGCTGCCGATGAAATTGCTCGGGCTACAGCCACTGCAACTGCTGAGGCGGCAAGGGCTGGGCATGCGTTTGATCATCTCAAAGTGTGGCTTCTCTTGGCTTTGGGAAGGGTGTGGATGAAATGTGATGAAGCTAAGTGGTTGGTTTTAAGGCCTGATGGAAGACGAGTGATTGAAATGGTGATTATCCCACGACTGAGTGACCCCTATCCTGTTGTGAGAGCGTCAGCTGTGTTTGCTCTGGGAACACTGATTGATCAGATTGGAAGTCTTGCAAAGAGAAGACTCAATGTCTTAGAGGTAGATATGGTATGTTCGCTTTAGTCTGCTTTTATTATTTCTACATTCCACTTTATTTAACTCTATTCCTCTTTGTTAAGCATTTTCTTTTGATTTTTGTGTTTGGCGGAGGAATTGAGTAACTCCAAAGACTTCCCTGGAGAAATATGTGTTCTTTGTATTTTAAATAGATCATATTATAAACATAAATCGGGGAAGTGTATGTATGGCCTGCGACAAACATTGAGTGCAGTAGAGTAGTAATTCTGGTCGTAAAGTGCCTTTTACCTAGCGTTTTTTAGGTAGACATTTGGATGATTATGTCTTACACAATCGAGTTCCAATTCAGAATAATCTGCACATCTCGGATTGCTTCCTTTTATAATAACTGCCTTACTGATTAATAATTCTTTTTGAGTAAACTCTTCTGAACGATTTCAGACACTAGTTGGCAGAGGGTCAATTTCACCAGTTTTCCAATACAAGATGTTGGCCCCATTAATGCACCTACTCAACAAGTTGTAACTTATTTTGCCAACATTAGGCATGATGAGCCTATTGCTTAATCTCTTAAGTAATATTGTAATCCACAAAACCCTGCATAAAGGCCTCTTTTTTGGTTGGCTTAAGGCACTGGTTCTTTATCTCCACCAAGCCTGCTTTTTACCTACCCAACAGATTAGTTATTTTGCAGCATGCGAGGAATTCGGTTTAATTAATCTCTATCTACTTTATGATATTGTGTTGGGATTCAATTGTAAAATGATCCGCAGAATTCCGTGAACAGTGTCTTCCACTAGTCATGAATTGAAAGTGAAGAAATTCATACTTTTTCCTCTTCCAATTCTAGATTAGCCATCAAGTTGGCATCAACCTTCAACAATGCTCTCGAGATCCATGCCCCTTAGTTCGTTGCGAAGTTGTCGTTGCACTTCGATCTCTCGTTGAACAATACGAACAGCGTGTAGTGGAACAAGCGCATACCTTCTATCATATCATCGTTCAACGTCTTCCTCCTGCTCCCCATACACCCGATTCTACTATTTCTGCTAACGCAGTCACTAACATCGTCTCCACAGAGCATTCGCGAACTCGTGAGTTACTGCCAAATTGCGGAACCTCTTTGTAACCTTTCTGATTTGTTTCAACCTTTGTTGATTTTCGATCCGCTTTATGTTTTTAGAACTCCCCGGCTCTTGAATTCTAAGATTTTCCCAAACATTGTATCCTTTACTTTATTTCATCTATTGAATTTAAATAAACAGTTATGTTGAAGATAGGATCTTACAGGCATACATAGGTTTCTCTATAATATCTTCCGAGGGAATTAAGGAAGGTTGATTTACAGGTTTCTGTAGCTGACCTGTGATTATCACTGGTCTTTTTTGTGACATGTTTTTCAGATCTGATATATTCGCTAATGTTATGTTTCAAGGTTAGGACTTCTAGGAATACTTAGGCCATTTTTTATATTTTTTCTCCACAGTTTCTCAGGCAGCTGCGGCGGCCCTACTTCGTGGAATGGCCGAATTAGGTGGTCGTATCTCTCGCTCCCGAAGTCACCGTGACCTTCGTCGCAATTCCACCACTTGCTTTACTGAATCCTCCTCAACCACTTCCTCTCTGATGAAGGACGGCTTCACTGTTGAATCGTCAGATAGTGCTACTGGTGGTATTGCTAATTACACCGTACCCGAATTCGTTGAAGGTGAATTGTAAAACGGAGCTAGTATGTTGAAGGAATATTTGTACTTTGTCAGAATCCAAATTGTTTTATTATTTCTAGACTTTGAGCCGACTGTTCAGGGCAATATCTTTGCTCAACTCTGGGATATGGTTCTAGTGCTTGCGGCTGATCCTCATCCGACTGTTATGAAGTTGGCCAATGCCATTTTTCTTCATATTCTGGAGGAAGTAAGTAGGGCTTTTTATAATGAGTTTTTTTCTAAATCAAACGATTTTCTGTGTGGACAGAATTCGGGGATGCAAGGTTGAATCTCACCGTCTTAGACTTTCAGTCATTTCTATAAACCTCATTGTTTGAACCGCACAATGGGCCAACCTTATTTTAATGCCCGAGTTGCTAAGCCCATTTAGGAAAGACTTTCCCAATGTCCAACTTGTTCTTGGAGTAGATATCACGGAGCCTTTCTTGTGAAAGATCCTTCAATTACATTAGCCAGACTTGTTTTGTTGACGGGTGGTTATTTTATCTTGAATTTTGCTGGTTTGTATGATTGAGTGCTGTGGCCTCCTATTCGATATTCATAAGGCAAAACAGTTTATGGCCCTCTCTTGTTTAATCTCATCTAACTTACCTGAAATACTATTCACTGTTCCTTCCTTTTTCCTTTCAGCTTATTGAAACGGTAAGTTTGATTGCCTTGGATTTTAGATTCAATTTGAACCTTTTGGGTAACCTAATCTCAAATTCTTTGGTATTTTCTTTTTAGTATGATGTAGCTAGTGAGGTTGTAGTAATTAATGGGGTCCTCTACCGTCGTGAAGAGGGTCCTTTAACTTCGAATGCAGCTGCAGCATCGCTTGATGGTGATCATCCAGCAGAAAGTCAACCTCAGACACCTGAGTAAGTTTGAAATTTCTTTGCCTTTTGCGTTGTCGTTCTCCTGCGACTGGTCGGTTATTACATCTGAATGAAGAACGGTTGTACTAAGGGGGAGGGGTGTTTCGCTATAGATGTTCTGGTACCTTGGTTATTCGTTTGCTCTTGAATGTGCACCTGTGCACAAATCCATGATTAATGTAGTTATCAGATTATCTTGTAAATCTTGGGGATGGCAGGAGGTAGCCATTCCGTTGTGTGACAAGTTCCCTTAAAACTTCCCAATCCCATTGAGGGAAGTGCTTACAATGATTGACTTGGTTGAAGGTAAAAATACTTGGGTCAATCTTTTGAGTAACTCACATTCTGCCTCCTTTCACTTGAACTAGAATTAACCAATTCGGTTGGCCACCAGCACTACTGAATACGTATCTGCAGGGTATTGATCTCGTGACCTCTACCTTCGCAGACGTGTGTGTTACTGCACCACCGGAACTAAACTTCTTAAAGATTTCTAGTTCCTTTCTAAAGGATTTAAGCAGGTAAAAGCTACTTCTAAAAAGGTATGAACTTATAAGGGAAACGCAGAATAGGGGGTGGGGTATTCATAGGTAGTCCATTGGTTGATCTACAGTTCATAAAGATGAACTAACTCTCAAATTTCCTTTTCACTTGATTGGATTAATATCAAGCTTACTCCTTTAAAAACACCACCTGCATAAGTCAACATTCTCTCATGTGTGCTCTGCTTTACTTTTAGATCATTCATGGTTTTGTTTTTTGTTTCTTTTCAGTGCATCTTCGGGACCACAGCAACCGTTGCCAGCATCTACAGCTTCTATAAACACTCGGAGTAGACACTTTGCAGGCGGTGAAGCTAGTGTAAGTTTATTTGAACTTTACAGATCATTTTTCCGCTATGCCCGAATGTAAATAAAATATCCTTTTAGTCTTCTTCAGAAGTTAAACGACGATTGGAAGTCAAAACGGAGTTCTTTCAATGGTGCTCACGATGGTTTAGTCAACCGCTGCTCAATAAATACCCGGAAGCCCTCCAGGTTTCTCCGAATGGCGGCAATCAAGGTGAGTTCAACTTAAATTAATAAATGGTGTTTTCTTTTGTTAATATTTAATTATTTTTATCATGTGTTCGGTTTCTTGCCCAGACCCCTTGAGTCTGTCTACTTTACTGAAAAAGAGTGTTTTGTGACCTTAAGTCCCATCCCGAAAGGACCAATAACTCCCTAATATTCTTATATTAATTTTCCCTCTACTCTTATAGCTTCCATAGTCTGGCTTTACGCCACCTAAGACATCAAAAGCTATTGAGCGAAGTTTCATTTCTTCTCAAATTACTTTGCATTAGGCATAGATCATTCGGAGTTTAAGCTCTATATTTGTGTGTGATTTCCTTCTTTCTGCCTCAAAAAATGCTCTTGTTGGATCTGTTGCTGTGGTGGTTGGTGATTTCAAAAAAGCCATTTGATTTTTTCTCGTCTTTCGCTCATATAACGTGTACATTATTTTATTAATTAGATTATCGCGGCATTTACGAAAGACCATCTCGTCTGAAATCATAAGTTATTTGATCGTACTGGCTTACATCTCCTTAGGGTATTGTAATTTACACTGAGTGTTAACGTCTAGGTTCTCTCTTTATTTGATCTATTGCTTTACTGGTTTGTCAATTTTCTCATTAAGTGTCTATTTCATTCTATACTATTAAAATTCCCTGAACTGACTCTCAGATTTTTATATTGAACTATCCATTTTCTCAAAAAAGCCCTCCGACAAGTATCAAAACTTTAAACAGAACGAAGATTTACATGTTTTTTTACAAGCTCAAACTTGCCTTTAACTCATCCTTAATAGTATACAACTTTCCGATCATGGCATGTAAGGTCAGGATCAAGACAGGTTTGCTTCTCAAACCAACTAGCAATTTTCAACTCTTTGAATGGCAAATTTCGAGATCAGAGAAAACATAAAATTTTTTTAAAAAAAACAAATCGGAAACCTGTTTAAATCATAGAAGCTTTACAACAGGTTTATGGAACTGCTCCATGTAGGGCAGTCCATTATGATTGGACTAGACGCTTTAAAACGAGAAGAGTGCAACTTGATGACGACCCACGAGGGGGGGGGGGGGGGAATCCACCACAGAAAGAAATCAAGATAACATCTCTCTCTCTCTCTCTCTCTCTCTCTCTCTCTCTCTCTCTTGTACAGAACCTAGTGCAGGAATAATAACTGATCTAAAGAATTGAACCTTCTTTAGTGACTTTGGCAAATTGGGAAGTAAAAGAGGGTAACTTGTTTAAACTCTGTGCGACCGGAAATGACACCTGGGTCTACAAATTTGATCCAGAAAACAAAATTCAATCTAAAGAGTGGCATCCAAAGGAACAACTAAGCCCATCAAATTCAAAACCAAAAGGCTCGTTAAGAAGGTCATGATCAATATATTTGGTGATTCAAAAGGAGTGATATTGTTAGACTTTCTAGGGCAGAAAACGGTCATCACAAGTTATTATGAATGCGTTTTGAAGAAGTTAAAATCATCCTTGACCAAAAACGGCGCAGGAAACTGTACAGTCAAATTTGGTGCCGTCACTACAATGCCTCTGTGCATTCTTCAAGAACTGTTAGGGTCCTGTTGAGCCAATTTTGATGTGAAACACTTCCACATCCTCCTTATTGTTCAAATCTAGCTTCCTCGGAGTTTTAGTTGCCTAAACTGAAAGAACACCCTAAAGGTAACCGATTTACGTTTCTTGGATGAAGCGAAAAGCGTGGTGCCAGAGACAACCGTCAAAATTCTACCATGAGGGAATCTACAGGCGGAAATATTATATCAAACGGCAGGCTTATAAAAGTTATTATTAGCCTTTTAGTTGACTTCGGACTTCACAGAGGGGAGGAACATCAAAGTCACAAATAGTCGAGAAGAGAAATGGAAGAGTGATTCTCAAATGTAGAGAAAAGGAAAGATGAGTGCCGTGGAAGTGATGGAATATGACATACAGTCGGGTCATGGTATTTTGAAGTCATAAGTCGACTGCCGTATAAGTATGCGTTGCCAAGGTTGCAACACGTGGAAATAAGTCTATCACGAAACCCACAGGAATAACTATAGATCTCGACAGTGCATAGACAACAATTGAGCCTCTGTAGTTAAATGAATTTCATAACCTTTAAAGCAAATTTATTATGGAATTTCACAGAGCTTTTTGACTCATCTTCATGCTACATGTTGCTATATTTTTCAAGTTCAGTGCTTTCGAAAGATCCCAATCCAAATATGTTTCCTCTCGTTATCTGTTTCGACGGTTCGACTTTTCTTCCCTCAGGTTGCTTATTACTATTTTTATTCTTAAAAATTGAGCAGAATCACTTAAATCTATACATTTTCCTCTCAGAGTAGTGAAACAATTTGTGCTGGGTTCTTATTAAGAAATCAGTAACAGGCTAAAAATGTTAACTAAGCATTTGTTAATTATTTATAGGTACAAGTATGGATCCACCTCACCTTTCACCTAATCTCAACCCAAATGACCTTTACTCCCTTGCGGGTATCTGTAATGACCCGCGAGCTAAGACATTCGCTGAAAACCTTCGTAATTATAGGCGTCATGAAGCATTGAGAGTTTCAGGTCGTCAAAGGTGGCATGCAATTGCTAGGAAGGAAAAGTTACCACCTTCAGCTTCGACCTCATCGACTCAGTACAGCAGTCCCTCGGAGGTGGAAGAGTGTCGAAGAAATCTGCGATACATCGTTCATCGAGCATCGCGTACAGCCTCGCCATTGTCGCCAACACGAAGAAACTGTCGTCATGGGGCGAGAATTAAGGATTCCGGAGTACGCTACTGTTCCAGTTCTGTGTTCCCCCATCTAAGAGGTGGTCAGGAAGTTGAACACGGTGTAGAAGCTGCTGAATTTGATCCCAAAGCTGGGTTAGTAGCATATATTTTATATATAACTTTGTCCATGCCCATTTTAAACGATGTTTTTGCTAAGTAGAGTCGAACCCTAAATCACTTAGTGTTCGCCTTAACCGCATTCATCATTTTGAGCGCTTTGGGCACTCGTTCGTACGTGCCAATGTCAGTCTGCTGAAAGGTGCTATTTCGAATGCTATTTTATCTTTTTTGATGTAAATATAATTTCCCCGATTTTTAATAGTTCATTAGTAATTTTATGACTAGTTTATGATCGAGATTCTCAAACAAAGAGGTGAATAGTTTTTACACCATAGTCGCACTCTAAGTATCGATTGCACTGCTTCTAATATTCTATTACTTCCATTTAGAAGCCATGATCTTCAAGTGATTCACGTCTTCAGGGCTGCAAAGACTTCTCTAACGCGGGGTTACGTTTCCACAACTAAATTTCATCCTTATAAGCCTCATATGCTAACTGCTGAAGCTTTGGGTGGCTTGGAGGAGTATTCTGTGACGGTTTATGATTATCATAGAGCAGACGAAGTTAAGCGTCTGACTCTAAATGAAACAATGACTCGGGTTTCAATGAACCAACTAACTACTCTTGGTGGTGCTCTGGGTGAAGAAATTAAAAAGCAGAGAGCTCTTCGAGAAATGTATGAGTAAGTGCTCTTTTCTATCTCCCCTAGCTTTAATCAATTTATTTCGTGTCAGTAGTGTTGCACATTCTTGTATCATTCAGCCTAGCTCAAGTGACATCTCTCGAAGTGCTGAACTCACTAGAGGAACGTAGCCTCCTTCTTACGGCTTCACGAGATGGTTGTGTTCGCGTATGGCAAGACTATGACTGTAAAAATGGCGCTGTTCCTAAACTTCTTACCTCTTGGTAAGTGCAGATACTTAACTCCTTTTAATAAAATGTAGCACTATTTGAGCACTCTTATTACAGGGTGGCATTGGAAACTCAAGTACCGCTTTCAGGCCCACAGCGAACTGCAGGTGTGGGGCTGGTTACCAGTTGGAATGACTGTTCTATGTTTCATCGATTGCATGTGTCTGGTGATGTCCGCGTTATTCGCGTGTTTGATACGGACTACGAGAAAGCAGTTGACGACATCAGAACCAACTCAACTTGTCCAGTCACCAGATTGGCTCGAGTTAGTGTGGCTGAAGATGATAATATCTTCGCTGCTGGATTTGCAGATGGACGTGTCAAAGTTTTTGATGCTCGGCTGAATCCACGTAACGCGTAAGTATTTGCGGGGCTTGTTTAGAATCAGCGCATGAAACAATTTCAACCTATTGTAAATCGATTCGAATTAATTTTAAAAAACCTAAAGAATGGTCATTCATTTACTGCAATGTAGTTTTCTTTGAGTATTGAGCATTTTAGCTTAGCTCTTTTATCCACAATCAAAAGAAATATTTTAACTTGATGATGCGTTTTATGCACCATTTTAAATTGAAGACCTAAGCCACTTTCCAATGCTCTTCTCAAAAAGAATAGTTGATAATAAGGTTTCATTTTCGATTGTCTGTATTGTTCACGCCAGCATTGTTGAAATCACTACCAAATAAATGATTTTATCTCGAGGTATGTATCTTACCATTTTGAAATTAAATGAGAGAGGAGATCCATTTGTGATGCCTATTTTCTCCATATTCAATTTATCTTTCAACTTCGGACAAGTACGTTCGCAACTATACTTAAAAAACTCTGCTTGTGGCATTTAAGAGTATTATGTCCAATAGAGGCGGTGGTTAATTTCAACAAATGAAAGCGTTTTATGGACGGCTTTTTGACTTTACACGGCTTGACAGTACAAGTTCATGAGATTTATGTGTGAGGCCTATGCCAATTTCATGGCTTCAGACATGTTTATGCTAGCACTTATTGATCACTAATAAAATAATGTGATGATTTGTGAACACAAATGAAATAAAAGCTTTTCATCTTCTAATTCTGCTGGACCGTGGGCTATTGTCATAATTAGCTGTAGATTATATGTCTTCTCTGATTAGAAATTACATTCTAGGTTTCGTTTGTTTATTAGAGTTGTATTCGAGGCATCTTGCGATGGAATTGGCCGTATATTGGATCTAGCATTTGCTCCATTCCAAGCCGACAGACGTCTCTACGCGGTAACTAGTTCGGGAGTTGTCGGAACCTGGCAATTAGAAGCGCCAACTTCAAATCACAGTTCATGGCTTCCCATTACTTCGCAGTTACCCGATAATTTTCAAATGTCCGGTGGTTTAATTCGAGACGCTCATCTTCACGTATGTGATTAAAGTTGATTTGTAAAGTTACAATCTGGTCACATTTTTTATAATGTGTTTCCGTTATTCAGGTTGAATTACCTTGCACACGCTCTCATATGGTGACTTATTTATCCGGTCGGGGATTCAGCGTTTCACGTCTTGAAGACGGTCAATTGATTGCTTCCTACCAACCGGAAACCAAAGCACGGCCTACTGCTGTAGCAATGCATCCATATGACGTATGCTTGATTCGTGCTCTTCTACTGCATAAATTGGTACAGAATTCTCTAACTTGTGTCCGCTTTTTTTAGCTTATGATTGCATTGGGAATGAGTGATATGTCAATTCACTTGCTGAAGTTCAGGACAAACTGCTAGAACAGAGCATTCAGAGTAACCCGTCTTTCAATTCCATTTATTGGCAAAGAGGCTATTGATTGGTTATCCTATCCAAATTCAATAGCCAGGCCCTACCTCTCTCTGGAATAACCAAATACATTCGTTTCTCACCGTGGTATTCTGGGTTCCCAAGGTTTTGTTAAAGCTCCCTTTTCCTATTCTCAAATTGTACAAATATGAACAGAGATAGTAGATATTATTGTACACGCTTTGCCTATTTCGCTTTAATGCTATGCGAAGTTTCTGATCAATTTATTTTATATTCTCTCGTTATGGCCTTCGTGGAAGGTGCACCCTTTGTAATTAAGACCATTCATTATTATGATTGCGTGATTCAATAAACAGCTTGTGGTACAACTGCTGTTGAATTTTTGGTTTTCCGTCAAACCTATGCTGGACTTGCCTGGCGTAGTATCGTTGGAATATGGGTCTTGGAGATCACAAATTGTAGAGATGAGGGCTAGACTCAGTAGACAGTAGTAATATGCATTAAGCAGAAAATGTAAGGAACTGATTCGAGGCAGGCATTCTAAAGTCCAATGACCCTGAGATAGTTGATATGCCGTAATGTTTGAGCACGAACGGAGAATCACAAAATTGAGGCGATGTAGAGTTCCGCATTCTTAACCGCTATGCTCTCAAACACCGTGCTCTGATTAACTATATTAGCACGGCAAACATATTTGCTTCGGTTTGTCTCAAGATTAATCAGTTCCTTAATTGACCACATAAAATACTTCTAGGTAAATTTAAAGGGATCATTAAAGGAACGAATATTAAAATGAAGAATACATAATTCTAAATTCCCATGTCAAAAGGCAGGAAAAAAGAATTGAAAGCTGCAAAGAACAATTAATGAAAAAGAAAGCTTGTCGTAAACTTGGAAATCAAGTAAACACGAAAGTCTCTTGAAATATTTGCTCATGTTAACAATACCTAAGCAGAAATATTATCTTAATTATCAAAAATATAGCTGAAGTGATTTATTTATTTGATCAAGCACAAAATAAAAGGATATTGTTTGATTTAGTATATGTAATATTTTTTGCCAGGTATTTTATTTGTTTTGTCAAATTAAATTCTGCTTTGGACCTTGAGAGCAAAATAGCGGATGACTAATTAGTCTTTGGCGCGACTTATTGTCACCAGGCCGGTCATGTGTTGTAAGCTGCTTGCATTTGATAAATAAAAGTTAGTGTTTTATTCTTAAAAAATACTCGAAGACTTTTCAATACATCACTATTCTCACATTTTTAAGTTTTAAATATATTTATATTTACTTCAGAACTCATTCTGGATCGTTAAATTAATAACATGAGCTATCCTCCGGGTTCTTTGCGCTCTTGTCACGAGGCTGATGGTCGAAGTGACCGATCAGGTGGTTCCGGAGGAACAGGCAGTGGTAGTGGTAATATTTACGGAAGTCTATACGGAAGTACGTTCAGTGATTGCAAATGGCATCATCACCAACCACAGCTCCAACAACAAATTCAATCCCAATCTCTTCCTCAACAACAACAACAACAACAATTATCCTCAACCTGGCAGAAATGGGCTGCCAGTTTTGACGCTTTGTTAAGTGATGGCGAGGGTGTTGCTCTCTTCAAGTCCTACCTTGTATCCGAGGGCTGTGGAAATCTTCTAGATTTCTGGTTTGCTGTCCAGGGCTTCAGAAGTAAAGTCGACCCATCAGATCGAAAAAAAATCCTCCAACTTATCAAAGTCATCTACCAGACCTATATTCGTGGTTCTACCAGTACGTCAACGGTTCCTCCTGGATCTTCGTCAAATGCTCGAAGTCGTAGAACACATACTCCTGTCCGATTACGTCCGGAAACTCGAAGAGCTATTGCCGATCGTCTATCTCATAAGAGCTCTCTCGATCAAACTGTTTTTGACGAAGCTCAGACTGAGATTGGTCATCTTCTTCGCACCACGGCTTATCAAGCTTTCCTTAAATCCGACGCATTCATAATGCACATTCAAGAGGGCTCTAAAGCTCGCATTCAGGGCATTCCTGAAGAAGATTTCCATCGACAGTATCTTCCAACAGTTGAAGAAGATCGAGAATTAGGTCAACAGCCTGCTTTGAAACCAGGGGGTTCTGTGACACCGGCGACATACCACTACTTTTGTGGACCTCCTCCCCCAATGATCCAAACTCAACAAGCTCCCCCCTCTCAACAACAACAACAGTGCTCCTGTCAAAGCAGTGGCGCTAGTCCCTGGGGACTTTCGTATTATCCTCCCCCTACGCCCCGAACCTGTTATCCCCCAGCTGCACCCTTGACACAGGAAAATATCCAAATGACACGTTTCCAAAGGGCTGAATTGCCGGTGCCACAGCACCTGTCATGTTGTCCGCATTGTCAAACGCCGTTTCAACAGCAGAATCAACAACAAACTGTCCAACAGCAGCACCAGACACAAATAGCCTCTTCTAGTAATCCGCTTTCCCCGGTTCAGCACAAATCCCTTGGTAGAATAAGTTCCACTTCTGGTCCTCGAAAATGGATGGATGCTATTTGGTAAGTGTCTGCCCAACTTAAAGCTCATTGTGATTCTCTCTATCTTTCTTCTAGCACCTTTGAGGCTTTTGATTAGCACTTCATTTGACCGCTTTATTTCACTGTATAAATGATCATTGTCTTTCCAAATTATTAAAATCCTTCAATAAGCTATGTATTATTTGATCTATTTGGACAAGATTGCTTATTCACTATCCCAGGTTTTATACTCAGTGTGTGACTATGTGTAGACTTCATGATTTAGGCTTTAACGTGCTTATTGATATCCATGCTAAATCGCTAATTTGAAACCAGAAAGATAGCGTAGATAGTCTTCTAACCAATGGCGTTTGTTTTCATCCAGGGCTAATGGTTGATATTTACCTCCTCGGTATCATTAGTTGGTCCATTTATTAAGTTACCAACTGGAGCTTTTTTAAACAACAAGTCAAGTATAGTGTTTGTTGCGAGTGATTTGTGGATCGAAATCGGCAGCTTAAATATACCCTTTTTGTTATCTGTATGCTTTTTTGTTCAACTTTTTAATCATAGATGGGTAAGTGTACATTTTTAATGAAATGAAATCAAAAACGGGCAAATTTCTTCTTTGAAATCTAGACCGACTTCTTCACTTCATTTAACATTATATTATCTGAAGCTTGTATCAAAGTGATGGTCAGCTAAAAATGATATTAGTAATAAAATAGGACGATGAGCTTAGGTAGACCATTTAACTTATGGTTTATCACTAGGTTCCTTCCAACAGTACAATTGTTGCTCGGATCTGTTTTTATTTCAACGCCTCTGACATAACTGCCTCTCCAAACTGCCCCAACTTGATTAAAGACTTGACTTGAGCTTAGGAAGGGCTTAGTGGAGGTCCATCTTATGCGGAAATCACCTTCTTGATGATCATAATTAACTAGCATATTGTGTACTGATGGATATCAATCTATTCTGGTAATTGAGCACATACTCCAACGACTCATTTGACCTATCTTTCCCAGATAGGTCATGTAATTTGTCCTCCCTGCATTAAATCTACCTTTACTACTCCTTGGACTTAAATTCAGAATAAAATATTAATCTAATACAAGTTAATGGAGTGATACAATTAGAAATTTCTACAATGGGCAAACAATCGCTTTTTTCGAAAGATGGAGCCTATTCGAGCCAATGTCTACGACAAAAAAGCTTTACTTGGTCTTTCTTTATCGTTGTTGGCTCTTTTTTAAAAGAAAAAAACTTGTGTCTGAAGGAAGTCTTTTTGCCTGAATACGTCATAAATCTAACGCAAATTGAACGATACAGGCAACATCTTCCGGGTAGAAAATCCTGATCTTTTTTTAATTCCTCTTTTACCGCAACGCATCGCACCAAGAAGCAGCACCCCAACACTGCAATTCACCAAGAAAAATGACGAATCTGCTCCCCTTTTCAACCACCATGTGTGTAGATTTCACAAAATGCACCTCTATCACCTCTCTCTTGGTTTGGGTTGGGCTGGGTTATTGGCAGGCTGAAATCTCGGCTAACTACTATTAATTCGCCACTGCTATTAATCTGTCGAATTGTGGGCTCCTCATTATCTCGCACAAACCTCTTTTCTTCGACAGTACACCTGATTGATGAGCATCTATTCGGAGTGATTTACCTACTCCAGGTGGAAAAAAAATAAAACTAGAGACCAGACTGGTTGCCGACGGATTTAATGAATCGACCCATTTTCATCCTCAATCTTTTTTTCTTCTGGTCTAGTGCTTTAGTACGTTTGTTAGGAGAAGAAATCACACATCCTTTGCCTTACAGATTTAGTAGACTTTGGAGCGCACATCTACAGTTGCTTACTACGATTTAGGTTTTCAAAGTTTTGCAAGTTCAGTTAATATTAAAATATAATATTCAAATATTATGTACAGTCGATGATTTAATAACTTGATTTGAAACAGTAGACTTCGAACCAGTTAATTGACCCAAATCATCAAATTCTTTGGGGAGGAGTTGGAAAATTTCTTCAAAATTAGGGGAATTAGGGTTTAAATAAAGTATTTAAAATCGCGCGTAATTCCTAATTAAATTCTCTTACTGTTTGTTAGTGTCTACAGTACTTGAATGTCTCAAAGTAATCAAAGTTGAAGGACCTTTTTCTTGGAGTCCTTTATTGACTTGCTAATCCCCTTTTGCATTCAGTTAAAGTAATACGTTCATTTAATCCATGGAAGAAATTTGCCTGCTATGTTGCGCCATTGAAGACGCGTTCAAAATTTAGAATCGGAAGGTGTTCACTTAACCAAAACTTTGTTTGAAATCCACTTGGGCGTAATTATTCTAACACCTATTCTTTCATAACCGAAGCATGATACTCATTTTTTTATCGAGGCTATGGACTATTCATTTCAACCCCATAACTTCTGAATAACAATTGTATTATAGCTTTCCATCCTTGTAGTTTTATGATTGGACAAATTGAATTTTGCCCCCAATGTTTGTGGTCATTGTGCCCGGTAAAAGGCAGCAGGATGTGGGAATATTTGAGTAGATAGGCTCCAGAAAGCCTATTATTTTTTGAAAAGGGGGTTGTTTAAAAGTACTTTTTCCTAAAAATTTGGAAAAAAACTGCGTAGTAAAGATAAGTTAAATGAAGGCACTAATAGCCCCCCTCCCCCCTCCATAGCTCTAGCAGTATTAGCAGGTGGTATTTAAGCTTGCCCCGAGCCAATCCATCAGCGTAATGACCGCTCCTATCCCTTCTTCCTCCAACCTAATTACCGTTACCTGATGTACCCTTCGACATTTTTCACACCCCCGAGAATGGAGATTAATTGCCTAGTTAGCCACTAGTAAATTCAATACACCGCAAGGCACATTTTTCGTTTACCAAAATGTGTCTTTCACGACCACAGGTTGTCGACAGGAGTGTAAAAATAAGCCTACGTACACTTGTGATCATGTGTGTATGTGTCGAGAGAGAAAGAAAGGGAGCTTTGAAATTTACCTCTTGTCAACATTCCCCCCCCCCCCAGATTTTTTTCTTCTCCCGCGGTCTATCGTTTGATCTATTTCAAAAGCAATTGTTAAACTGCGGGAGTAGTATTTGCAATCTGATGAAAACCAATTCTTCATTTCATTAACTATTCTAACTATCTATAATCATATAATCAAATGGTGAAATCAGTCGATAGTTCATGCTATTTGTTAGAACTCATTTCACTTATTTACACCTGCAGTTTTCGATGGTTTGACCAACTTTATTGCATTAAAGAAAAGAATTAGATCAAACGTTTATGCAGGTCTAATGCAGTCAGCTGTGAAGAGGTTAGAATGTGTCAGAGAACAAAGATGACAAGGTCAAACACGGACATCAATAGGCATTTCGGTGGTTGATTGACACCTTTGATCATCAAACAAGTGAATATCGGTGCATGATTGCTTGTTCCCTGCCAAGCTGTTCAATTAATATGTAAATCTTATGCGCGCGAAGAGCTAAATTTCATGTTTGTGATTGACAGGTGACAAGGCGCGCCTCAGTTTCTGAAATCGAATACATCATTCGTCGTATTTACGCGTCTGCATGTGTGTACATTTGGGTTTTTGTTTCTAAGGCCTTGCGAATAGCAATAATTGAATGTATAATGAGGTCTCAAATTACCATTTAGCGGTATAGGATCGACTTCCTTTCTTTTCCAGGAAAGACATTTTCTTTTTTAAGAAGTATCGTCCTTATAATTAAGACTGAACTTCCTATGATCGTTAGACGTCTCATATTCGCTTAGTATATCGGTTTTTAAATCGCGAAATATTTTTCATGAAATAAATCCGCTCTGATTCCAAGGAGCATTTCGTTATTCCTAATAAGCTCAAGAACATCGCTTAAAATATAAGTGGAAGATTAGTGTTGAATGGAATTATTCAGAGGATATTATTTTAAATGGGAATACTCGAAGAGAACTCTTTTTCCCTCTCCATCGGAGGTTATATTTGAAAATTTATTTATTTCAAATGGCGGATTTTATGATACTGATCATTAGCCCTTTAGCTGACTTCGGGCTTCACGGAGGGGGGGGGGGGGGGGGGGGGGGCAGGACATCAAAGTGAGAAAAAGTGGAGAGGGGGGACAGAAGAGTGATTCACAGATGTAAAAGTAGAGAAAACGTTAAGGTGAGTACTGTGGGAGTGATCAAATATGACATACAGTGGGGTCATGGTAGTTTGAAGTCAGAAGTCGACTGCCGGTTTATAGACTTTTTGCCGTATGAGAATACGTCGCCCGGGCACATCGTGTGGAGGGAAGTCTATTGCACACCCCTTATCTGAAAATAGAGTCGTCAGTATTTGTCTCCAATTTCTTAAATCGCATGGGTTGTCTTGGAGTTTACTTGAAAACACTGGGTTATCTTTATTTAGATTTGACCGTATAATGCTGCTTGAAAGATGCATTACTGTATTTCCACTCAAATATTTATATCAAATGTCAGGCGTCTTGATGGTTATCATTAGCCCTTTAGTTGACTTCAGGCTTCACAGAGGGGAAGGAACATCAAACAGAAGAGTGTTTCAAAGATGTAAGAGACAAACACAAAGGTAGAACAAAGGTGAGGTGAGTACTGTGAAAATGTTCGAATATGGCATAGAGTGAGGTGATGGTAGTTTGGAGTGGGAAGTCAACTGCCAGTCAATAGACTTTTTTCCGTACGAATATACGTTGCCCAGGGTGCACCACGTGGAGGTAAGTCTATCGCACACCTCGTTCCACCCAAATAAATATATCATAACTATTTGACTTATGAAAGTCATTTTCACCAATTCCTACGCATGATATTGCGTCCGAGAAACATCTTGAACACAAACATCCAGTCATATTAACATCAGTTCAGATCTGCTGAGTGACACATAATAAAGTATAATTGTGAATGGTAGACATCACTTGAAAGGTCATGTTTCATTCAATTGACAAGGGAACAATGGACTGGATTTATAAGGAAAATATTGAACTTTATGTTTATTTTGCTGATTTATTCTTCTTGTCACTCCAATACTCAACGAAAGTCATTAAGCATGTCTTGTTGATGGAATATGATGAGCAATGTTTCCATTAATGATTGAAAAAAAATAAGTTTTCTTCGTTGATATATTAGCTTTTTTCCGTGTGCCATCGTAACTGTCCTCTGAAAACCGACGTCAATGCCGTTGCCACCACTACAATATGTCAGTTTATCTTACTTTTCTCACGGGAAGTAGTTAGAGAGAAGGCAGGCGAATGTGATTGACACATGAACAATCATAAAAAATGACAAAAAAATTGGCGCTTGGCATAAATTCAGTGAATCACTCAATGCCGCGCATTGCCGACTGTCTATTAGTCTTATTTCCGACATTCACTTTCCGATTTTTCTCTACTTAACTCTCCTCAATCCTAGATACCAAATATAAATCTCTTGCACCTTATTGGTTGGGCTAAGGTCATCTATTCAAGTGCTTATTTTTTTTAGTAAATTTAAAATATCACTTATCAATCCATCAAAACGGATGCAAAACGGCCATAATAACGTCCAAACATAATTTTACATGCAACATTTTTACCTTCATTTCAGTCACCTTTTTAGCAATGCTTAAGATAAACCCACCTACTACACATCACCTATAGCACTTGATTGACATCTTGAGTGTAAAATCAACGCCTTTTTTTTCTTTCGGCTCTCCTCTCCATTCACCCCTTAGGTCTGCGTGCCCTGTTACTCCCTCTCCCCCCCACCCCCCTCCCTTCTCTCAGGGCACGCAACTCCATACAGAGGTGTCATTATTGCCTTATACAACTGTCTTTTGCAGCGCATGTCAGCATGATTCGCCTTTCCGTAATACTATTCTTCCATTCAGGTGAAATTCGCATTAACTTGGCCTAGAAATGGACTTAGTTTCTTGAACTGATCTTGCCTAGCAGACACTTAGAAATAGTGTTTATTCATCATTTTTGAAATTCTAAAATGTTTTCGTTTCCATTCAGTTAGGCTACCAATTACTCCTTCCATAGTACTAATTTATTTTCTATTAGTTATATACGAATCCCATCTTCAATAATTACATCTTCGTAATTAAAGCTGCTAAGATATCGTTTTTGATGAGTCACTAATTTTGCAGTTCGATAAATTGATAGTGACCTTTGATAACATAGGTCTTTCAAATTGCTGCTTTAAATTAGTTGACATATTAACATATTCAATGGCGCTTTTTACGGAATATGCTTCCCAAATTTTCAGTCCCAAATACGAGTACTGCTCACCGCCTTTACCTCCACAGGGGGGTTTTCCGCGGGCGCCTCCTAATCCTTATCATGTCTCCTTCGCACCCGTGTCTATGCAGGAATCTGAGCATCATAGTCTATCAAGTGGTGCCCACACTGAAGAAAGCCTCTCCCACACTGATGGAACTTGGTAGGTTGACAATTAATTGTTCTTTGGACAATTTCTGAACTTGCTTAACGCAAAGCATACTCGCTTTACTTCAACGTGAATGTGCTAATAAACTGTGAATTCTTCCACCAATTTACAGGATTTTTTCGATTATGTGCTCGTTTTATCATGGCTAGGACTAAGCTGGCAATAATTGTTAAGTCGCTGGTCATTGAAGGCTTGAAGCATGGAAACTGTCAGACAATGGACATTTTATACCCCACAAGCTACCCATATATCTGGCACAAATTTACTAGGTTAAACCGGAGAAAGACGATACAGGAAGCTTTGCTATTTTATGCTATTCAATTGGGTTACAAAATTTCAAGTGTATTCATTTGCAATGGAGCAAAGATATTGAATTTGCCGTAGGCCACAGCGACGAACTTAACCTACTTGGTGCCCACACCACAACTGTCATCCGAATTGACCAATTACAACGCCTCCTTCTGGTCAAATAAACCAATGAGAGATGGTTTCGAGATCGTGAAGGCAGTGATTTTACTAGCATTTATTTTGGTGTGCTGCTGAATTTTAGGCACTTCGTTTCAGCAGCTCGGTTAGCATATTATGTACATATATTTTAGGCGCAGTGGACACGAGGGGTACTGTAATTGGTGGTGTTCTTAAACTTTTACTAGACTATTTTTTTGCTTCGGCTATTCTGGCAGACATTATCTTGCGTCTGGGTAGCGCTTTTAATGGGTCGTTCAGTTGGAATCATCTCGGTAATAATACCGTTCGTTTTCAGTTTAAGATTACTATTTATCACCCTATGCTGAGACTGAAAGTCTAACAACATTCTCTCCCTGTCATAGGAAACAAAAAGTGTTGAATGTGCTTGGGAGACACTTCAATTTCAAATGAGGATTCCTTAGTTGTTAGCTACTCATGATGATTAAAATAGCTTATTCTAAATCAACGGATATTATTTTACTAGATAAACTAAATCAATAAGAATATTTGCAGTATCGGCAAATTCAGCAAATAATCTGATATTTTTGTGAGAAAAAATGACAAATTCAGGAAGCTCAGCCAACCCTAATGTCAAGTCAGTTCAGTTCCTAAGACAGGATCTAAAATATATATATATTTTTTTCATTAATCAAATTCTTTTTCGTTGGCACTTCATATAATGGACTTGGAGGTATTTGCCTTTCAATGCGCTCATATTTCTCTACGTGTGGCCATAGTTGAGTTGCTATACGCCTTGCCAACTTAACTGCCCTTGTAATTATTGAAACGCTCATACTCCTTTGCTTATAGGCTTGACGAAATGGAAACGTTTAATTTAATAAATTATTAATCGAAGTCTTCACTGACCCACTTTTCTCAATTAAAAGTCAATAGTGCCCTTACGAGCATGGGGATTGATGTTCGAATTTCTTTTAAATCCGTCCCATAAGATAAGTTTCCTTTATAAGACATTGTTTCAACGCTCTTTGTGTAGTCATTTCTTAGTTGCAAAAAATATTGTTTTCCTGCCTTATTTTCAAGAAACCTTAAAGCGGACGCAGCTGAAATGCCAGGTAAAGTACCTTATCATGGGAACAAATATGAATTATAGTTAACACATAACAAACTCAACTTAGGGAACAGCTCCCTTAGAAGTAAACGGCTATTCAAACATGCTTTGTCTTCCTGGATATGATCTCTTCCGCTTCAATCACTTGTGGACCCATTTCTTCTCTCCCTCTCGGCAGTATATTTCCATTGCTTCATTACCACCAACATCATCGCTCCCTTCTTCCATTGTTCACCCTCACTTTTATCCACCCAATTTTCTGCGAAAAAGCGACAAGCAGGCAGAAGAGGCCTACCGTTACCCTACTACTACTGCTACTAGGCTGCTAGATTTTGCTGATGCACAAACAGTAGGAAAGCAAAAAAAAGAGGGAGTGAACGCGAACAAACGAGTGTCTATGTGCACACATTCATCATTTCGCCTCCCACACAATGTGCTATTTTCAGCTGGTAGCAGCTAGTCCATAGTTCTCCCTCCTCGTTGCTTACTTCTTCTTCCTCCTTTTTCCCTTCCTCGGGCTGTGTTGGGGTTCTTTTCGCTTCATTCATTCATTCATTCATTGGCAGTGGGTCCTGACACCTTGCTCCTTCTTTTTCTTTCCCACCTCAATTACTAACTCCGTCTGCGTAGTTGGATGTCTTTTGTTTGTCCTAAAAGGACGTGGAATCATGAATAAATGGCGATATTTGTATGTTCGATTTCCCTAGTTAATGGACATATCGTGATTCAACGAACTGGATTTGCCAATCCATGGGTGTGGACAAAACGGGGAGAATGCGTTATTGCAATACTTTTGCGATCATGGTTGGCTATCTTGATGTTTTGGAGCCCTAAAGGTTTCAACATTTAGCATGACGGTACTGAGGTGTAGATTTGTTAGGATTCCCATTAATCGTGGGTGAATGTATTTTGGTTAACTGGGAAATGATATTGAAATTCGGAGATACCCAAACATTCTTTATGCATTACAGAGGAAGAATTTCAACCCAACATGCGTAAATTTTACTGGGAACAACGTCTTATTATTTTTCCATACTTGTTTTTTTTTCATTGCCCTTAAGACACTTTTCTTTGATAAAATTGATAAGCAGCAGCACATACGCACACACACACACATACCATTTTGAAAGATGTAATCTTAGCTTTTGAATCTCGCAAATCTTGCTAAGACTTCGATTTACAATAATTGAGAGCCATAGCTGTTGTTTTCTCATAGGCGATTATTTTTTCAAAATTCATTTAAAATTTCTTGATTACTTCCACGGGTTGATTAATTCACTAGAAGTTGGAATTCGCAGACCAAGCCAAAATTCAGACTATTAATTTCTCTCATTCATCTTCTAACCCATTTATTTGCTTTTCAAAATCAGATATTCATGTGGCGACTTCACTACCCTGTGTTTAATTATTTCATTCACCGCATTAGATTTATTATTGCGTATTACGTCTAATTGTGCGCCATTATTAGGGAGAAAAACAAATTAACTGTTAGTGTCATAAATCACATATTGAGGAATAAGGTAAATTCTTATAAATTTTTTTGGGCGTCTCAAGTTTCCGGAACCGGCCAATTTATTTTCTCTCACAGTGGAGTTAAGACTGGCTTTTTTCGAGTACAAAGATGATGATGATGATGATGTATCATGACGGAATTGCACTTCGATGATAATTATAAACACTGAATGGGGACCATCATGAAAATTTGAGCTTATCGATCAATAATGAAATCCCATTTGGTTTTAAACAAGACCTCATGATCTGTTAATAAACAGGGGTTTGTTGGTGATACTGCGAGATTTTGAATTTAGAGAGCTTCTTCTCAATAATTTCCTATGTCCTGCTAACATGTTTGTCAAGGTGACAGAAAGCTGCCCATTAGGCAGAGAGTGTGTGAGTGTGTGGGAGAGGGAGAGAGCGAGAGAGGACAAAGTTGCTCGATTTATGATAAGCATCCCAAACTAGTTGTAGCTACTTGACGCTTAATTGACGCTTTCAAAAGTGACATTACCGGATTATATCACAACCCCTTCTTTCCTCTCTCCCTCCTATCAACCTTATCTCATTAAGTAAACATGTCATTTAATGATGGCCTTATCGACCTAAACACTAAAAAATTGTTCCTGTGAAAGTTGAATATATTCGTGCATGTGTCGACCTTCCCCCCCCCCCTCTATGTACACTTGATTTGTTGAAAAGGGGGCTAATTTAATAGCGTGGACTCATTACACAAGTTGGCTAACCGACTCATGAATTGTGTTGATGTCTTTTTATCCGCACGGAATGACCTAGCTTCCAGCTATTTGGAGTGTATTCCTTCTGTGATGAATTTAGTCTCTAGATGACTAATACACCTTCCGCCGACAGAAACTGGAATAGCCAGAAGAAGTAACTAGAAAAAAATTAACCCTTTTGATAGAAGGAATTCGATGTTGGCCCGCTCTCACTTTTTTTTCCTTGAAATAAACAATACGTCGGCAATGTTAAAGTTACTGCGTCACTACGAGGGAGACAAAGCCACCCTCTCTCCAACTTTTCGTAGCGTTTTCTTAACTTTTGTCTGTAGAGTTATAAGGGGAAAACAGCTAATTAGGGTGGAGATTTATTATGCATCAGGATACTAAAAACAATTAATAGACGCTGCCCTGCAGACAACGGTTCTTCCTAAGCGTTAACATGACATGGCGGTTCATCCAAAATGAGAAAGTTGAGTTTAACAATTATGTATTAGACAGACGTGTTTGACGGAGAAGAGTTGGCGAGGGTATGCGGGGTTTTAGGGAGTAGGCACCGGTACTGAGTGAATGAAACCCGGTTTGTGATACAGATCGTCTTTAGAAGCGCGATATGGAACCTGACAGATTTCGGTTTCTTTCCTCATTGACAAGCAGTACGCGAAGAGGTGAGTCAACATGCGTGCACAACAATGCCTAGATGGGAAACTTATTCTGAAATTTTTCAGTCAACGGATTAATTGAAGATGTGCATAAAAATTCCCAAGTCTCTTCGGTATGGAAATCCACTTTCTGCCACCTCTTTAAAAACCAAGATTTACATGCTTGATTGATCATTCTGATCACCGACTGAATTTCATTTGGTCTAATTTTATAAAGCACTCTCAATTCGTCGGTTCGTGTCTATATCTTTGAATTTCATTTCTAGTTAAAAGATCAAGGGTGAGATTCCTAACTCTTTTGCATTATTCTTCTGAAATGACTTTTTTATTGACGTTAGTTCCTGGTTTAGTCGCAAACATACATTACCATTTCTGGAGAATGTGTCGTTTACAGCAATTACCTCAAACATTCATTTTTCTTCTTTTCCAAATCACACCTCTTACCTCTCCCCCCCCCACACACCCACATTTGTTTCATTTTCTATGTGAGAATAAATTTATTACCCATTAAACCCAAATTTCCAGCTTTTTACAACCAAGGCGGAGGTCTAGACCATTAAAATCTGATTCAATCTCTTTTCAGTTCGTCCCTCTCACTTCTCCCTCTCTGCGAGAACGCAGCATATTTATTGTGTGCACCGTCTATACATTGTGTCTGCCAGATTAGATTGTGTCTATTTTTTGCCGCCACATACACAATTACTACGTTCGTGTCCGGTTCGTGCTTCTTTCCTAGTGCTTGTTCTAGAACAGGAGAAAAACCGCCCGTTATAGTACCCACGATTGTCTTACCTTTGACTTTATTTGCAGGCATTGCTACAATTCTATAAGCTTTGAAATTTGTCAATAAAACAAAACTGCCCCTTCTTCCGTGCCACAGCATATACTACTTTATTAAGTAGAGGATAACATCTGTTTTCACGAAAAGTGTTTGTGTTTTCTATTTGAAACAATAGTTGAGTTAATAATCAATTTTTTTGTAAAACTAAACCTGAGAATAAAATTGTTTTGTTTTGTGCTTAAGGAATGCCTAAATTTCTCCAAACTCCATGATTAGAAGTCGCGTTTCTCAAGCTCTAAATGTTCGTTCTTAAGGTTGTTTGACACTGATCTGAGAGTATTCTTATATGCGATTATCCAACACTACTACCTTCACACTCGTCCAACAGGTTTCCAAACTTCTCGAATTGCCGATAATTTTGTGCACTCTTGAATCATAGATATCTGGATGTGGATCAATGTTGCAATTTCCATTCTTATCACCAATTTCGGATACATAGACTCTATAACATTCTTATGAAACTGAACTCAATTTCTTAATGAAGCCTCATCTCCATTTACAGTGATGATATGCGTACACGGTTGCACCTGGCCTCCCTCCGCCACACCCCTCGAATCTCTTCAAATTACCCCATCTTCGAGCCTCCAACAACTTCTCTTGCTGCAACCACCACAGCCAACCCTTCCAGCAGCGGAGTATTCAACAGTCACAAACATAAGCGAGGAAGTAGTTCCTCAAGACGTGTGACTGCTAATTCAGGCTCTGTTGCTGCTACAACGAATAAGTCTGTTGCCGCCGCTACCCTGAGGGATCAGAATTTGGCTGAACTAGATCCAACTGGCTTTGCTAAATTGCTGAATGAACGCCTACAGCGTGTTGTGGAGGATCAGGTTGCTATGGAGAGGCTGGAACGAATCATGTCGGAGGTAGGCTTCCTTAATCAATAATATAGTATAAAGTTAATTGCATTATCCTATTATATTCTATAATCTTGCTTTATCTCATTCACCAGATATTACCAGAATTAACTATAGAGAAGGTTAATTATTTAAACGTTCTTTGTATTTATTTGAATACACGTAACTAAAATGTCAAGCATGTCTCGTCAGTGCTTGGTTGTATAAATTCATCATGTTGATTCTTCCTTCATTTTCCGTTATTCGATCTTGGATTCATTCTTCTAGGTGCTTTCTTATTTGTTATCAGTAGACATCTGGCGCATTGCCTGTGTTATTGTTGGACCAAAGAATCACTAGCTATTGGAATGGCTGTCTGTGTGGTTATATTTGGAAAATGGAGATGTTATAGTTGTGTCTAGACTCAAATTTCTAGGTTATTACAGTTGGCTCTCCCATTGGCCCACCCATTTACATACGCCTGATTGACATCTGTCGTGCATTGTGTTTGTCCAATTTCTCGCGTCTTTGTTTAAACTAACTGACTGAAATGAGCGACCCTGGGATAAACAGGACAAAACAAGTTGTCTCTTTGTTGGCCTCCCCATTTATCGTCACTATCGCATGTCAAAAGGTAGTCTGTGTTTCGACGTCCCGTTGGAGTGAATGTGCCGACAACAACCTATCATCGATATGGTTTGTTTTAGCTTTCAACCTCTTTTTTAACTCTCTCTCTTAATTACTCATCGTGCCTGTGAATCACCTCCTTGAAATACCCGTTTCGAATTAGTCACTGTATCACACAGTGGGTGCAGCTGCAATCGATGGTCCATTACTCATCTGTTTAAACTGTGGTTTGGCTATTCTCCTTTTTACATCTATTGTTATTTTTGCGAAGAGAGAGAGGATGAGGGTATTTATAGAATTTCGTGATTTTGGCATTTTAAAGAAGGTGAAACGTCCTGGGCATGTCTCGTGTGTGCCGTTATTTTGCCCCAATAACAGATGGGACTTCAAGCCGTCTCTTCTGCAGCCCCAGATGTCGTTTGTCTAAATCTCTAACTTTCTTGGCGTATGGTGAAATGGGATCAAAGTTTGGCTAAGGTGCTAACAATCGATGCCTCAGCATATATCGACGTAGTCTCTTTATTAGTCATGTGGAAGTTTTTTCTGAAACTCCGTCTTCAGTTCTAACTCCTATTTACGACTACTGTGCACTCAACTAAAGGTTATTTCTACACTAACCTATCAATTGGCCATTTGTTATCTTAGCCAAACCTTTTGCATCGCTTAGGCAAGTGAATATGTCGTTTTCGTTCAAATGATCCGTCGACCCTCTATAGTAACTAGACCCTATTCACACTATCAATTGTCTTTATGAATATTTCACCTTATCATGGCACTGGATTCAGCATCTCTTTGTTGAGCTTTAGAGGAGATCTTTAGTTGCTTGAACTTTAAGAGTTCAGATACAGCAATATCTATTTTCCTTCGTTAGTATAGATCTATGCGCTCTATATAATTTTTGGCAATGTAGTGCCATAGAACTCGTAATCTTATTTTTTTCTTCACTTCCATTTTGAAATTTATTTTACCTTTCAAAATGATGCAAATGACAAGAAGAAGAAGAAGAAGGGAGTGAGAGAGGAAGGGAGAAAGAAGACAAGACTAGAAGGGGAAGGAGAAGGTATAGATGATGCGGGCACTGAGTACTTTTGACAATTTCAATGTAGCACGCACTGCGGGTGTGTGTGTGTGTGTGTGACAAGATCGCACGACCCAAGTGTTATGTGAAGTTCTTCTTTTTACCTTTTCTCTCTATCTCAATCAGACAGGAGACAGGGACGCAATGCATGAATGGTGAACGTGTTTCTCACCCCTCCCTCATCCAATCTCCTTCCTATTTTGACCATCTCTGTCTTCTTGCTCACAAGCAATGACATTCGTTTACGAGCGAGAAAAACAACGATTGGCCAACATGAGTTGGTTGTTGGAGTAGTGGAGGGGGAGCGAGAAGATTGCCTAATACCTCCTGTCATCTTTATTTCTCTCTTAACCTAAGTGATGTCTCACATCAGACAGGTAATAGTATGCTAATTTCACTCGTATTTTTTACTCCTATTAGGTCGGAAATGAAGATGAACAGGGCGAAACAGGAGTAGAAGGGGTGGAGGGAGGTGAAACCCAAAAAATCCCCGAATCAGATCTTGAAAAGGACACCACGACAACTGTGACGGCGACCACACAGAGTGTAACAGAGGTCCTGAGAGTTGATACAGAGACTGATACAGAACTCGCCAAAGTGATGGATAATTTGAGTGTTGCGTCTACAAATAGTAACTCTACCACCGCTACCACTACGGCAACCACTTCTAAGCCCTCTGTTCTCCAAAGACCTTGGGCTGATCGACTGTTAGCTGCCGCCTGGGTACAGCATGCTAAACAAGGTGATAATGCTCAGGTACGTCATTTTCTCGCATTCGAACTCTTGTGAGATAATTTTATGTGCAAAGCGTTTATTGAATACTATTCTGCTCTATTTCCCACAAGCCATAGGAGTGATCAAGTGGATTTAGTGAATAGGATTATAACACCGCTGAAATCTAAATTTACACGCTCATACTTTGAATTTTGAGATTTTAATTCAGCTCTATGCCAAAATGCTAGTTAAGCACTTAGTCTCATTGCTTACTTGAAACCATCAATTAAATTTATTAGCAGTTACCTTGTTGCTAAATTGCGGCCATTAAATTGATGAAAGTAGTAAATAAGTTCATTGATTGATTGAACATTATTATCTTCTCATTCAAGGGTGTTTTTGGCACTGTAATTACTGCGGAGAGAGAGGAGGAACATTTTTTTCCTTCATTCACAATGCCTTCTTGACTTTGAGTTGGCGCGTCTATTTGTCCGTGGTTAGAGCCCCCAGATCAGGAAGGCTGGTGATAACTATTCTTATTCGCTATTCTATTCAGTTTTTTTATAATCGCATATTTCGGGATTCAATTGCAAAGCGTATCTGAAAGCCTCCCTTCGCATTCTTAAATGGGCAAAACTTTCTATTGATATATATTTTTAGATCCTCAGCTTATTCAATTCCAACGAAATATGTCATGAAGACAGGTATATTCAATTTCAACTGAAACTTTAACCTTCATTTAATTTTTAAATTTCCAGTGAGGAGAAATGGCCGCTCTTTGAGGTAACATGATGAAATTGTACTTGGACTTGAAAAACAGACATGTTTGTTTTAGATGAAGTAATTTGGAATAAATTGTTCCATGTTCTACTCACTCTCAATTCATTTTTTTGTAAAATTTGTCAAGCGGATAGGTTAATTCAGTTTATGTATTCCTGTATTTCCTTGAAGCCTAGCAATATTCTAGCCCATTTCAGTTGTGCAAATTGACGAATTATTTACTACATTCTAGGTCTAAACTTTGGAGTTGATTAGCATCAGTGCGTGGTGTCATTATCATAGTTTTAAGTGGCTTGTTTCTCCAGTTTGCGGATCTGAAATGGGCGTCCAATTTTTCAGAACTTTGGAAAATTTTTAAACCATTAAAATTAGTTGAACCTCGCTTTTTAAATAATTCTGACATGAACGGTTCTCAGTGCACTTCAATTGAATTAAAGTGTGAAAGTGGAAACCGGGTGTTTCAGCAAGGGTTTCCAATCCGTCAAGCCTTCTGATTATTGCAATTTTGATTTTCATTATACTCAATTTATTTTTCATAGCATCCCTGAGATATGTGCTTCCAATAAAACGATTGCTGTTTTGCCTCCTTACCCAGTAATTTTAATTCGAAACCAGTAGTCTTGATAAAATTTTGCTAAATTCCCACTCAAGTTCTACAGCTTTGGTTATCGAGCAAATTAAAAAAATTTCCATTGGGCCATTAAATCGTCATATTGATTTGGTTTTGTGTGTCGTATCCCACATGCACTTAAAATTGTGCTATTCACAGTCTCTGAAATTACTGTACTCCTGATGGCTTAGGTTTACTTCTTTATCTGTTCCATTAACTGAAAATACGTCATCAACGTCAGTCCATGTTATTCATACACCTCATTCCCACACTAAATTGACCACAAATATGATTTATTACCCACCTTTCCCCACACAAGAGAAAGTGTTTTTTTCTTATGTGAGTATAGCACGCTAGTTAGCAAGCCCTCGAAAGGGTACAACATCACGATTTGATGACCGATTGATTGATTGATTGATTTAATACGAGTGAACGCATATTCGTACGTTCTGTGACTCCCGTGCTGGTCATTATCGAGGTCAAATTAAGCCCCCCCCCCCTTGCACGCACTCTGACGGAGGTGGGTGATTCATTTCGCTTCTATCTGATACACATCCAGACACAGTAAGTCTTGTCCCTTCTTGTGCACCTCCCCTCAATGAAAACAAGTCTTCAAAATATTGGTTTTTCTATCTCTTTGAAATATCTTCTTAAATATGAAGAAAAATGTGTCAATCATTTTTATTACTAATCGATAATCAGGGAGTTTGTTTA